CAGCTAATTAGTTAACAAAACAATAAACTATTGAGTTCTCTGAACGAGTGATGTGTTTTAATTTAATATGGATCAACGTGTTTGAGTTAATATCCATGTCTAAATCATATAATTTGAGTTAACAGAGGGACGCAGCGTATGACGTCATCGACGTCACTACGTTCACTCACGCTTTTGAAAAACTCACAACGGCCATGCTAGAAGTAAAACGAAAAGGTCTTTGGCTTTTCGTTTTCAAATTTGCCGTGCTAAAAAGTGATCATAATTCAAACCAACTCGAAAACGAAATGACAAAGTGGACGACGCAGGAAAGTGACGTCAGACTCCAGCTCCCAGGCAGGTGAACGTAATATTTACAGTGTATGAGGCGAGCGGGCAGAACGCGCAGTACGATGGGTGGCGGGGTGAATCTTCTGGAAGTCTGAATCTGGAGTCTGAAGTCACTTTCCTGCGTCGTCCACTTAGACATTTCGTTTTCAAGTTGGTTTGAATTATGATCACTTTTTAGCACGACAAGTTTGAAAACGAAAAGCCAAAGACCTTTTCGTTTTCATTTGAAATATGTCATATGTATACATAGAAAGTAAAAGTATAACGCAAACTGGATGACTGAATATTCATTTTAAATATAGGTCAAATAATGCACCTATAATCTGAAAATTAAAAAGTGTTTCTGTTACTGTATTTTCATTTTAAAATTAGATTTTTCATTTAAATTATGATACAGATTTAGCGGGGCATTTTTTGAAAATGATAAAGCAAATGTCATTTTCTTCCTCTTTTTAATTTAGTCAAAGAATGTGCATTTTTGAAGTTGAAAACTAAAATTCAAATTAGATAAATTAATCATCATTTTATTTTTGAGTCAAATAAAACACTCATATTCTGAAAATGAAAAAGCATTTCTGTTAATGCATTTGAATTTTCAAATTAGCTTTATCATTTGAATTTTGATCACTAATCGCTTCCATACTAGAAGCGCCACAAATTTGAAAGTTAGGGTTACATCAACATGACGGTGTGCCAGTGACTGAAGCCACTACCATTCAACTGACTGGCATTATTTCAAGTCTCGGGCTGTTCCTTGTTCTAAGTCATCTGCTGTGGTGAGTAAAAAAGTTTCTCAAACTTCTTGCGTCTGTTTACTGGTGTATAACGTTAACAGAAGCTATAACGTTAGCATGCTAATACCTTGAGCTAACTGTTGTTGAAACTGCAGCAACGTTATTTAGATGAACTTTGACCCTACTGTGGAGGCAGGTAAGCTGCTGCGCTGACGTGTTTGAGATCAAATATAATGTTCTTCGTCGTAATCATTTGTCAGACTGCAGGACAAAGAAGAACGGAACGCAACGTAAATTATTTTTAAATATTTAATTAACCATTAAGTAGAGAGTTGTGTGACTCACTAAAATATTTTTGTTTAATAAATGATCCTGGTTTGTATTTATATCGTATGTGACTGATCTTTCCCATCAGGTTAAAGTGGAGGAAGAGCACTGAACTTCAAGCTTTAAAGACATCAGGTAAGAAGTAAGCCATTTCTAAACTTTTTATATTATTACCTGTGAACCCACAGCCTTCTGTCTGCCCCAGCAGTACAGTGATAATCTTTAATGGTCTACTGCATTATAACATGAGGGACATTTTCCACTGTGGTGACAAAAGTTTCATATGGGTGAGGGCTGTTTGTTGAAACCGTAGTTTGTGGTGTGATGAACTGCCTTACAAACATTCATGTCTTTGTTCAACAGAACATTAGAAAATAGTTTCAAGTATATAGTGCAAGCAGTTTTTCACAGGGCCATTATTTTAACTAATCTCAGCTTGTTTTCAAATCATTTGTGCCCATTAAAGGAGAGCTGCTGAAGGCATTTCATCATCCCCCAGTCACCTGACTCACTGCATATCAACCTTTGTATTGGTGAGTATGATTTGTTGTTAAATTAAAATAAACATAAGCATTTGATTATGATGAACTGGAATAATCTAAATTATGTCATATTGCTAATTGAATCTATTTCCCTTGGATCAAACTGAATATTAAGTAAAACTACAAATAATCTATTTTCAGTGTTACAGTTAAAAACTGTTCATCAATATACTTTTATGTTTCTGTAGGTCTGCAGTTGTTTGCTGAGTTCCATTGCATCACAAATATGAACCTTCACAACACATTCTACAGCCAGCTGGACCGACACACACTGCAACAGCTTGTCTCGTACAGGCAGAAGGCCTCAGCGACATGAGAGACAGGCGCTGCAGGAGGATTTATAAGCTGTAGGTAAATGACATACATAAGAATAATCATTTTAACCTGCAGCTAAGGTTAATAATGATCATTTATTCTTATAGTCATAATGAGAATTTAAAAAGGAATTTATTTTTTGGCCTAGGAACAGCATGATGTACACAAGAAGCACTCTGGCTCTTCATACCCTCCCATTGTACCGGCAAGGGGATCTTCAAGATCTCCTGCGAGGTATGTACTCAGTGCAATTATGAAAATGTCAATATCAATGACTAGTGTAAACTGTTTTTGTAAAGTAAAATGTGACTTCCTGCATTTTACAGACTTTAATAGAAGAAAAGATGGGTTTAGATTTTTCTAATTATAAGGCTCACATTAATTACAGTGGAAGAGTATAAGGACTGTTATTGTTCTTCCACTCCATGAGGCATACTGTATTAGGCCAGGTCCAACTGTAAGACATTTTCAGTCCTTGTTGAACATGAGAAAATCGTAGTTAGGCTGAAGCTAAAATGGTGCTTCAGCAGTCAGAGGTAAAAAAACAAGAATTAGTTGATTTTCTTTTTTTGTGGCAGGAAGAGGAAGCATGATTATCTTTGATGTGATTTGGCTAAGTCTGAGTTCTAGAGGCCTCGTAATAATAATGGACTTTAGGTCGCATTTTAAAACAGAATTAGGACTTTGAATTTTGTCCTTTCACCCTTACAGTGGCTCACATTCAGCAGGTATTATAGAGACAGTATAGACAGAGAAAAAAGTTTGACCGCCAGTAACTGCCAACATGCATATTTACATGCGAGTGTTGCGTCAAGACAGAAACATATTTACTGATGCTTTTAATTGTGTGAGGAGCAAGAGCCTACTGTGCAGGACTTGTAATATTGTTACTGGGATTATCTCCATCTTTTTTTCCTTTTATTTTTGCAGTGGGACGATGAGCCAAACTTTGAAGACACTCCTGTAGCTCTCCTCTATGTGGTCACTGACAGCTCCACTGGTACCATCCAGTTCAACCCTGACAGCATTTCTGATGTGATTGAAGCAGACCTTGATGTGACAGGTCTCCCCAGGTTGGATGATGGACATTTTCATAATGTTGGTTTTTATCTGAAGGTAATCATTTTATAAGGTTCCTTATCTACCTCAGCACATGATGTGTGTGATTCATTATGTTAAATCATTGGATCTTTATTTGCTTTTGATTCCACAAAAGTTATTTTCTCATATTTTGTTTAAATTTATTGGTTATTTCTAATAATGTCCTTAATTTGCACCTTGTAGCACAGTTTAAGGTTCTTTAAATCCTGTGTAAAATAAACACTGTCAATGTTTCCATTAAAATACAGACACATGACTGGATCTACAAAACCATTCCAGTTGTTTCAAGTTTCATAGACTGTTTTAAACTTAAATAAAAAAGGTGAACTGAACAAAGTGAGTTGTATTAGTATTTTTTAACAAGTGTTCCTGAAATGAGTGTTTTCTTGTACATTTTGAGCTGATCAGAAGTTATTTTTTTTTATCTTTTTCCTTCGGTGTATAAGTTTAGCACAATTTTTTGATTAGATTTCCCCCAGGCTTTGGGTTGAGCACAAATAAATTTATTGAGTAGAAGAGTTGGATGGATTTAATTTGAATGAGTATCATCAAATCAATTAAAGCGAGTATGCATAACTTAAAAATATATTTTTTACAAGTAATACATTTGAGTTGGGAAAACTTAAAAATTAAAAAAGAAAATTTTTATTTCTACTTCTCAAGAACTTTGAGGTAATCAGTTACGAAAAACATTTTGAGTACTTTCAACTTGTTCGGGTTTACAGTGTATATATATGTTTATATAACAAACCCCAACTGTTCTACAATGTTCTCACCATTTTCAGTTTCAATAAAGAATTACGGTTGTTATGTTTTCATGTCCTAGGTAAAATTGGAAATTATATTGTGTGATAGGAGATGAAAATGAGTGAGGTAAAACTTTAAATAAAGAAAAGAATAAATGGTGGTAAATGGATTTGTACATCACTTTTCTAGTCTTCTGACTACTCAAAGCGCTTTTACACCGCAGGTCACACCTACACATTCACACACTGATGGCTGTGGTTGCTGTGTAAAGTGTCCATCAGTATTAACTAATCCCATTCACTCACATTCATACACCACCTGGGGTTAAGTGTCTTCTTGCTCAAGGACACATCAGACATGTAGTTGCAGGAGCTGGGGATTGAACCCTCGACCTTCCAGCTGAGAGACGACCGACTCTACCAACTGAACCCCAGCCGCCCACACTCTTATGCTCCAACATTAAGTAAGGATTAATCAGCCGTGTATGAATGCCAGATAGGCTATTTATACATTCACTATATATCTGTAGTTCAACATTTGGTATGGACAGTTGTTAGAAGGGAATTTCTGGCCCTGGTCACAATTGGCTCGGACCATGCGTCAACAATAAACTCCTCATTAAAACCTGTTCAAACTCAAAAAGAAAATGCATTCATATTATTTATGTATCACTTAGGGAGTCTATTGTGAAGTAATGTTAGTCTCTGTGTCTCTCCATCCATTACAGCACTATCTTTTGCAGGTATTCATTTCTACCTCTTCCTCTTCAGCCTCGCCTCTCTTTCCATCCATTCAGTCACTTCCTGCATTAAACATTTTATCAATGTTATTATCCATTAATCGGTCTACGACCTCCCAACCCTCTCATTATTTCATGCCTTGATCTTCCCCGTGCAGTTCATACCTGTTGCCTCCACCATGCCTTCAAGGATCACCACGATCTCAAACTCCTCCTTCTCTATTTGAGCCATTGTCATCTCCCAGAAGGGGCTCTTCTCATTGATCTCGTGCGAGATGATGAGTGGGGAGACCAGGAAGAGGCGGTCATCTCCCGTGTCAAAGCCGATGTTTATGTCGGTCTGGTTGAGCGGGATGAACTCCCCCTCCTTGGTCTGCTGCGAGCGGATCAGCTTCGCCCTGATCGACGCCTCCACGATGTGAGAGTTCCTCAGGTCCCCGACTCGAAACATCAGGCACAGCTTGTTGTCTCGCACCGATATGACGGCCTTGTGCGAGAACATCAGGGTCTCGGCGCGGTTCTTTGGCTGGGAGATCTTGACGAACATGCAACCCACCATCATGGCGTTCACGATGGAACCCAAAATGGCCTGCACCAAAAGCAGTATAATACCTTCAGGACACTTTTCTGTGATCACGCGATAGCCGTACCCGATGGTGGTCTCCGTTTCGATGGAGAAGAGGAAGGCCGACACAAAACTGTTCAGGTTCTCCACGCAGGGGGTCCAGCCCTCCTCGTCGGCGTGCCACAGATCCCCGCGGATGAGCGCGATCAGCCACCACAGGAAGCCAAAGAAGAGCCAGTTGACCACGTACACCAGGGTGAATATGAAGAGGCTGAGGCGCCACCGCAGGTCCACCAGCGTGGTGAACAGGTCGCTGAGGTAACGGTAGGTCTCCTGCACGTTTCCGTGGTGAACGTTGCACTTGCCGTCCTTCTGGACGTAGCGCTGACGTGGCTTCTTCGCCGGGTCTGAGATCAAGTGAGTTCGCTCTGTTGAGATCTGAGCCTCCCTTAAGTGTTTTGGAAGCTTCTTAACCTGTGTGGACGAGAAAGATAAAAAAAGAGAGAGAGAGGCAAAGTCAAGGGACGAAGAGAGGGATCAAAAACAGTCCAATTGTTTTTCAACATAGGTGTAATTTACAGTCAAATTTATTTTCATATTTCTTCTTCTCCAAAGCTGCATTGGGTTTGTACCAGAGGATGTAGGTGTTAACCTTCTTAATGAGATTTTCATTCAGGCCTTTGCAGAACCGACACTGCATGTGTGCAGCAGGCGGGGGGAAAGGAAATAAAATTAAGAGCTGTTATAAAGTCAGTAACTCTGTGCTTCTCTACTGTGACATTGTAAGGTGTCAGTGAATGCAACATTTATATAGAGGGAAGAAAGAGAGAGTAAGGACACAACAAGAACACAAGGGCGCCCAGGTCTTTGTCTGTGCTGGCGCGGCTCCAGCCAGGCGATCTGTCCCCACAGCTGTGCCTTGCCTCCCCCCCCTCCCCTGTCCCCTGTGTTCCCTCCCCTCACACCCTCTGGGACTTTGGCAGGCCTGGATAGGAACAGATCCTCCATCTTTTTTCCCAAAAGACCCTTATGGCATCCTTAAAAAGAGTGGCATATGCCTGGGCACACGCACTGTATTATATTAAAAAAAAAAAAAACCTCTATCATGCACAAACAAGCAGGATTCTAATATTGTATGTTTTAAACATTTAGGTTTATGAAAAACAATGACTACTGCAAAGCCCGGAAATGTATTCCTGCAGGGGCTGCACAGAATTTTATTAAGTTACTTTCCTATGACACACGCTTTGATACAGCAGGAAAGAGACAAACACAGGAAGACAGAGTCGTCAGGCACCTCTCAAACAGACAAAGGACACACAGGCAGCACCCAGACACCTTCCAATCTCAGTGGATAATCGAAATGCATTGTGCAGAGGAAACAAAACACCTCTTGTGTCCTATGAATCTTGCTGCTAATCGGACACCTGTGATCCATCTCTCTCCAGAGTCGTCGCTCACATCAACTGGGGAAAGTAACGTCCTATCCTGGCTACATTGACTGCTCTTCTCCTCTATCAGAAAAACGGATCACTCTCACGGTTCAGCCCAGAAAAAATAAATAATCTTCGGCACTACAATATCCTTGCGTTGCCTTCAATCGTGCAGCCCGAATAATACACATCTGTCAAACAGGTTTGTTCGATTTCCTTGAGATGTCAGGTGCTGTATCATCCCTTTCCCTGCGTCCATGCCGAGTTGGTCAGGACTGCATGTGCAGTATTGAGTTTTCAGATATTGATTTGAGTGATCCCTGTGTAAGGGACATTTCGACAAAGAGGAATTGAAAGACAATGCTTATTGACCGACATCACAATTAGTGGCATGATGACATTGCACTCACTAAATGTCAGCAGGCTCCCCTTATTACCAGTTGGGCTCAGGGATATTGGACAAAATATATAATCAGAACAAAGTCAGGTCTGTATTCCCTGAAGTGGATCTACCCTCTGACAAAATCAGGAAATGTAGTATTTTTTTTGTATTACTACAACCACTACAAGCCTTTTCAAATGAAGACATCCCAAATAGTCATTTCAGATGTGGTTAATTGAGTGATAGATGAAGTTGTCAAAGCAGGGCCTCCCAATCTTTGGCCTTTTTTTTTTTAGTCAATGTTGTCTGTGGGGATGATGGTCGATAAACAAATTCATTAGTTCTCACCGTGTGGCGGTACAGGCGCTGGGTGTTTCCTCTCATTAAGCTTTTTTTTGGATGCGCTTGGGTAGACAGTATAAGCTGGGGAATCAGGACAGATCACCAGTACAAGCCAAGCATCCTTTAGTGGGTTGGCTTTTTTCTTCTCTTTCTATCTCACCTGTAAACTGAACAGTAGGTCTACCTGAGCTGGACGTGCATGTATAGTTGTACTCTTTGTGATCCATAATCTGTTTTTTATCTATTTTATCACATCACTCTCTAAAGCTCTTTTGTTTTATATTGCTGATATAGCTCTTCCTATCTAATCCCCCCCCCCCCCCCTATACCTTCTAAAGCAGTTGTCTTCCTTTGATATCTCAGTCAACCTCAATGGCCACCCCATCCATCTCTTACAGTGTCTCTTTCAAGTCTCCCTCTCTCAGACAGCTGTGGTGAGGTTAAGTGGGAATCAGTAAAGCTTGGACCAGAAGTGGCTGTGTGTACCTGTGCAGGTGTGACTCCTATCTCCATGTTGTGGTCCATGAGGACTCGAGAGTCTCCTGCCATCCTCAGCTGAAGCTCAACACCTGTAAGATATAAAAAAAAAGGAAATGTCATGGGTTGAATTTCAGATTTTAAAACAAACATTTATTTTAAATCTTAATATTAGCAAATTCATCGATCACCCAAATTGAAATCTTAAACCAGAGAATTAGGGTCAGAGGTACAAAGAGTCAGAGACATGCACAGTACATTTCCTCTTGCAGTGCATACATTATTTCGATACTAACAATGTGCTGTCGATGTATAGAGCAACCCCAGGAGGGACATTATTTTCTACCTGTCATTTAAACTACTTCAATGAATCAATATGTCAATATGAGGAAGTTGGTATAATTAGAACCAACAGAAAACCAGAGAGCTGCTTGAACTGTCCCCATTAAAAGGTCAGATCTTAAAGTGAGATGTTGCAGTTCTATTGGCTGTAAAATGTATTTTTGGTATTAAGAGTCTACAGTATAGTTTTTACAGATACTGTACATGAAGATGGAAGCTGCTGGTACTGCTGCGGTGCCTACTTCGTTCATTTTAAAGAATAGCATTGTATCATGAGTTTAATTTATGTTGAAACAACTCTTATCCAAATGCTGTTATATGTTTGAGGATCAGCGAAGACAAAATTGAACTTTCAAAACAGGTGCTTTTTTTAAATCTACTAAAAGGAATTAGCATTTACACAGATTTTCCCATTATGTGAGTTAAAAAAATCCCACAATGGAAAATATCTTCAGCTTTTTATTAAGTCATGTTGATTAAAATGTGTTGAAAAATGAATGGTAGTTAAGGCAAAATACTCTTACATTGATTAAGGTCGATGAAAGAAAGCTTTGCCAAATATTGTCGATCTTACTTTTATGCTCTCACTCTCTGTGTTTACAGTTCATCCCCCTTGACAGTAATGGTGGTTTCACTTGTGATTTTACCATAAATTCTACAATTCTACAATTCACTTAGCAGACGCTTTTATCCAAAGCAATGTACATCAGAGAGTAAGTACAACACAAGCAAGGATCTAGAAAAAGGGAACAATGTCAGTAAGAGCAAACGATCAGCTTTGAGTCTGATTAGACGCACAGGTGCTGACAGGAAGTGACCAGAGGCAAAGCACAACATTGAGTGCAGTTCTTGAGAGCTCTAATCAGTATAGAAACCATCTTATAAGTTGTCGTTATCAAACAAAAACCATCGTCATTACCATCATCATCATCATCATCAATAATATGGAGACCATCATCATTAAGTTAGTAGATATTCATGAAAGAGCTGGCTCTTTAGCTTTTTCTTAAAGGTGCAGAGGGACTCTGCAGATCACATGGAGTTTGCGAGTTCATTCCACCACCGGGGGGCGACAGAGGAGAAGAGTCTAGTCAGAGACTTAGGACCCTGTTGAGAAGGTTGGAAATGATTTCTGAACATATCTGGGAAACATGTCCGCTATGCTAGCAACATGGTTCTATGACAGTACTAGTTTGTTCAACCAACACTTTAGTCAAGACTGAGCCTTAAAACTAATGACGTTACAATCAACCAGTGCTTTTATGCTTAGTGCTAATAAGCAAATGTCTGCCATGGATCACGTTACCCTCAAACTCAATGAATGACTTGAAGCTTGCCTACAAACTAATGAAACTGAGTTAAGATATTCAAACATACATGCTGGAATATCAGCTCATGATGAAAGTTGTTGATCTTATTATCAAGACTCAATGCGTCCGACAAGAGGAGAAGAAAAAGTATAACGCCTTTTCAAAAGCAGGACAAGCTGGATTTGTTGTCCCTTCTCTTAACTTTAAAGAGTAATAAAATATGAGAAAATTGTTACAGACATCCCCAACATACCAATTACATAAAGTACAAGTGAAATGTGTTGCAGTATTTCCACTTTTATTATAATAATAATGGATTAACTGTTAAACTCACATGGGACATGACGCAGTGTCCACTGTGTGCATGGCTCAGCTGCTGTGTTTTTTCCCAGCGTCATTTTTTCTAAGAGCAAGCTCATTAATGCTAGCATGGCCACTTGCTTCCACTACACGTGCCCATATGAACACACACACACACACACATATACACACACCTCTCACTATTCAAATGCACCAATCTCATGCAGTTCCCCCCATGTTTCTGAACAGATGCAGGGATTGCTTTCTCAATCAGCTGCAGACAGACAAATAAATACTTTCTGTCAAAAAGGAAATCCAATATAATCTCATATTGGATTGGAAAAACAAGTGGATGTATTATCTTAGTGGCTGTTTTTAGCTTCACTGGAGCAACTAGGTGATGTGCTTGACAGTGTGATGTGATTTTAAAGAGTTTTTCTCTCTGCTTGAGTTGTATGCCGAAACTGGTATTTTTAAACATCTGTTATCTCGGGTACAAAGTGACAGGAGGAGTAGAAAAGGAACACTTTCAATGTGTCCTGAATAATGAGGGATATATAAAAACAGCAGCTGCATACTGTGGGGGGGTGTCAGTGTGTGTGTAAGGGTGGGACCTTTAGATAAAGTCCTAACTTTAGCAGCAATCTCACAACACCTCCGGAGCTCCACAAGAGGCAATTAAGTTACAGAGCCCTTGGGTGATGTTTGAAAATCAAGTACTTATAATTTGACCAAAGAACTGGGGATGAACAGGGTCATGTGACCAACCAAGCTGCTGCTTGTTCCTGACCTTAACTACATCTGACATTTCTTTGTCATATGTCCTTGATGCTATACTCTATATTTGATCGCTGACAAAGTGAGGAGAGGGAATGCAAAAAGGCAAGCTTTGGAGGAGTGATGAGGGGGACCACGTCACAAGTCGGATCCACACAGGAATATGGTGTTGACATTGACGGTCCAAAGCAAAGGGCAGAGTGACGTGACAGGCATCTGAGCAGGGGGAAGAAGACAGACAGACGGACAGCAGAGGCGCGGGGACACACACACACAAAGCTTCTGAAAAAATCTCAGCCGAATACATTAGAGATGTTGCAAGGTCTCGCTTTCTGACTCATTTTTAGGTTCTCTCATGAATTAAACATGGCTCCCTGGTGATTTGTGAACTCCAGACCCTGTGTGTATTTCCAGCGAGGGCTGTGATTGTGTTGTCTGTATGCCGCAGCAGACTCAACAAGCCCATATGAGAGGTGTTCGAACATAGATACCAGCTGGGGTGTTTTATCTATCTCGGCGCTTTAAGAGGGTAACAAGCGTTTATCTTGTTAGCAGCAGAGTGACAGGAAGCTTTGGCTGAATTGTATTCATGTCCTGATAACAAGACCACTCATCTGTTGTGCCTAAAGCAAAAAGGGGTACTAGTAAAAGGGGAACTTGCCCTCCTAAGAGATACCTGCAGGACATATATTTCCTTATTTGCTGACATTGCACGTTTGTGAACAATAATGTGCACAGAGCGCAGCAAAATGTGGCCTTTTCCTTTCCAACCTGTGGCAAGCTCTTTAATTCCCCCCCAGGGCCTAGAGTGTACTGAACGGCACTTGCTCCATGATTTAATTTTCTACATTTTTGCAGAACTTCAGAAACTTGCAGTACTTCAAGGTTAAAACTGGCTGACAGCTGAGCCGAGGTTTCTTTTAAATCAATACTAATCACAAGTCCAATAAAGGCCGTTCGACATAGTCCTAATCTAGATTGTTATTCTCACTTGATCAACAAAAACTGTAAACTGTTTCATTATGTAAATGATTTTTTTTATTTTTATTAATTTCCCATTATATGTAGGTAATCAATTCTTTTTTTCCAGTCTGTGGAGCAAAAACTATTTGCATGGATTTGCACAGACGTGCTTGTTTTGCAGATGCTGAGTGTGCTGCCTGCAGCTGTTGGGTACAAGTTTGGTTTAATGATATTTTTCACTTTTTGGGAATAAAATCTAATAAGCAGTTTCATGTATATATTTATAACTTTAACATATTTCAGTAACCCTCCTTTCCTTCTGACCTCACAATACTGCTTATGTTTGCTGAGCACGACAGGGTTACAAATGGCAGCAAGATTTTGTAAACTCAGCAATATTCCTTAGTTTTATAACACAAATCTGACTGTGAGCGGGCGCTCATCCATAGATTTTGAGGTCATAGCTTGCAGTTTTTTTTTGTCAGTTCATCAAATACAGTGCTGACATCAGAAACAAATCGGCAAACATAAAGGAAGGCGAAGAGGAAGAAAAAGAAGAAGAAGAAGCAAAAGAAGAAGAAGAAGCAAAAGAGAGAAAAAAAAAAGGCAAAGGTTGCTGCAGAGATTAGAACATCAGCTGTATCTGTCCAATCAGTGCGTCAGATAAATATTTACTCTGGAGAAGTTGTTTCAGCTTATCGTCCGTCTCTGCTTTGTCGGCTTGTGGAATCTTGAGAACTTTCTCTTCCCCTGATCTCCTGTCCTCCTTCACTCTTCCCCTTGAGTGAGAGCAAAGAGTCATGGTTACCAGGCCTCATGATTATGTCTCAGGCTAAGATTGGCCCATAAAATAACATGGCTTCATCCCTATCTCCGCTCACTTATGACACTTTGAGGTCAGGCAGGTCAAATGACTAAAAACGTCCCTAGCTCATTTGGCTCCAGGCCCAGCAAACACACAAATACACACGCACACACAGACACACACAGACACACTTCATACCATCCCTCCCTCCCTTATACCCATCATGCCGATAGTGAGCTGAGTGTATCCAGTTGTGTCCTTCTCATGGATGACCTTCTCTGGAGTGACACTGCTGCACAGAGACGTTCGACTCACTCTGGAGAAACAATTTCCTTAATGATATGTCCCCCCCCCCCCCGGTCCCCGCCCTCGCCCACACACACACACACACAGACACACACGTTTTTCACCAATTCTTAGGAAAAATAGTACAGTTTTTCACATCAAGAACAGCTATTGCAGCTAGTAAAAAAATATGTTTCTTCTTTCAGATGTGCTCTACTCATCCACTAAGATGAGTACTTCCAAAAAAAATATTGTAAAAGCAAAAAATGTCACAGTTCTGCTAAGTGGAACCTAGATTGGATTAGAGCCACAACACCCGATGTAGCCAAACAGCACCCTCTTCAACCACTGTCCTTGCATGGAAGATGTGACACAAATACAGTGTGTGAGTGTCAAAGCATGCCCGCGACACCCCGTCTCTTTTTGTTACAAGGCATTTCTGTCAGGCCTGCTCTTTGATATGGGGCTTAAAAATCAAAGAATCTTTTTTTTTTTTCCATTTGCTGTCTCAGAAGGCAAGGATTGCTAAGCAAAAAGATTGAATTGGAACGAGAGGGCGTATTGTGATGGTGGAGTATAGTGATATATGTTCAGGATTATAGACACTATTGTTCCACAGTAATTAGAAAATGAACAAAGTATGTAAATCAGATCAATTTGTCTAAATCCTCTTCATCAAACTTCACTGCCTGTGGTTCATTAATCCTCTGCTTCACCTCGCTGTAGAGGACAGACGAGCACGGGAGGATTGGACGGGGGGGGTGGGGAGTGGGAGGCCGTGAGCAGGGTGGGGCGGGGCTGCAGAGCCGGGCAGCGCATGGTGAATGTTGGAGGAGCCAAAGGTCAAATCGTCTTGATTGGAATTCCTGACATGCTTCAGTGTGTCCCCGTGCTTGTCCCTTCGAGGAGCCTCCTTCTCGATAGTCATCACATGCCAAATCAGGACAAAATGAGATTACAGCCCTACAGTTGCATATTAAAAAAATCCTCAGAGCAGCTTGTTTGGCAAAAGCAGCTGAGTAATGCACCCTTTGCTCAGTGCTCTGTCTGACAAGGTGTCCTTTCTCGATGAGCTTAAACTTCTGTTGCTGACAGATGCCACTTGACTGATTGAGTCTCAGCGGTGTAAGATGTGAGGCATGGTGATGTCCAAAATTGCTCAGCAAATAATTTATATGAAAGAATAACAATATAAAAGAGGAGACATGTTGAATTTAAAAATCAGCACTGTCATTCTACATGCCTACTCAAACAGGATTTCACATTTTTACTTGTGTCAGTGAGCTGCAAATTATGAGAATGTGCTCCTCATGGGTAATGAATTTTTGCTTTTTTAAAATGCTTCTTTAAAAAACAGTTTAAAAAAATCCCCCCAGGTTTAGTTTGTTACCTGAAAGTGTTTCCAACATCGTAATTTTACTCCAGTTATAAGGAACATCTCTGAATTTAACGGATTGGAAGTCTTCTATTTGCAGAACATGTGAAGCTAGATTGTTTTTCCATCTGATTAATCAGAGTACAAGGTGAATATCAGTGAGCTGCAGTTTGCAAGCAAATGAATGTTCATGGGCAGAATCAGCCAATCAAAATGGCAGCGTCTACAGATGTTTCTTTTTAAATGAGAAACTAAACCTATATCAAATTCACCTTCCACATGTGAGGTGGGATATTTACAAGTACATGCAAATGAATGCATGTAGAAATCCTGCAGCTCTACTGTAAGTTAACATAAACCTTCATGTGATGACGTTAAACTTGCCTGACCTGAAATGTTATCAGCTTGAGATGAGACATCGACACATCTCGGCCATGGTCTGGACAAAGGGGTCCTCATGAATAGTCCAAGGGATCCCCCCTTTGTTAAAATAACTCCAGATAAAGACTGGTTTAGCCCCAGTGGCTAAGCCAGGAGCTAGAAAAACTCTCAAAATCCAGTCCATTCTACATGACCTGCATGCTGCTGACAGATAAGAGCAGGTGCCATCATATTCTTGAATGCAGTTTCCCTGTTAGTAGAAAGCAATCTGTTACAGATTACAAGTTTTTAGATATCTATAGTAACCAGTAACCTTCTTTCATACATTAATTCCAATAACGTGGCAGGTATAAACCATCATTTACAGGCAGCAACAATGAAAAAGTTCATGATCCAGCAGATGTAATTTCTGCCTTTGTGTTCTCTTCATGTCCGAGGATTATGGTGCATGCTATGCAAATTCACTCTCATGTTGATTTATGTAAGTGTGCTAGACAAACAGAGAACAAAGAAATGATCTCAGAACCAGTCATCTCTTTGCCAAACAGAGGGCAAAGGTGTGTTTGTGCTGCATGTAGGCTGAAGCAGCCGCTCCGTGCACTGGATCAACATCATGTGTGACAGGACTGTTGTAAAAAATATATGCATTGTGAAGTCATTTCTGAATCAGTGAGTGGGCCTCACCATAAATCTGATGCACGTAACCGTCTTTGTTGACACTCTAAAGTACAGTACACACATAGGCTTGATTTGCATCGGTTGCAGATTTATAAGGAGCATAAACAGAGTGATTTGCCTTAGGGGGATAATAAGATTGTGGGATATTTTTTTGCTGCTCATGTGTTCCATGCAAATACAAAGAGGCTGAGCTGCATTCATATGTGGCTCACAAAGTGCAAAGCTAATGCATATTAAATCATACACCCAGAAATGTTTTAACGAGAGAAGAGTACAAACTAGAACTGAAGAATATATAAATGGCAATTCATTCCATAATGAGGCATGAATAAGGTATCTTCTATATAGCATTTTTATGTAATGCTTTGACATGCTCACACATTTTCCAGAGCACTAAATACAAAAAAAAAAAGAGCTTCACGCGTGGCTAAGCCCTTGACACAAATGCGTCTCTGCGGTATTAGAGAATTTTGGGTCTGCTTGAAAAACAGAGCCTTCCATACATCCCCCTGGAGACGCACAGGCTTGACTAAATAAACACATTCAATTAATTATTCACAGTGACTTCTCTTTTGAGAGAGTCCCCAAAGATCCTGCTGAGAACAACATCTGCCCTTTGCCCTCCTTTGTCCACTTGTTAGCGAGATCAGGACGGAGATAATACTGGAGCAGGAGGGGAGCGAGGTACGCAGGCGTTGAGTCGCAGCTACAGTGATAGTAGCTGATAATAAGGTCAAAAGGCCATCCATCAAAAAGCATTATATCTAAGCAATTCACACTTCCCCCCCTACGCTCTTCAAATAGCCAATAACAGTTCAACCAGCTGTGAGCAGATTCATAATGGATTATGGAGGAGAAGGTAGCCTCAAGTGGAGCAAATAGGCAGGTTTGACTTTTAAAGCCATTGTTGTCAGAGTTGGCTTTCCTTTTTTTCTTTTTCCTCCAATGAGTTTGTGTTAAGAATGTGCCATATGCAAAAAAAACATGCAAGCTGCTAATGAGAGCAGAGATGGCTCGCACTAATTATTCCTCCAGTGTGCCAGAAAACAGACATTAAAAAATGATGATTGAGTCCACTTGCAGTATACTCTTGACACTGTCTTGACATCCCCCCGATGATAAGATAAAAACCAGGAAGGGGCAGGAGCTTTGGGGGGAATCTCTGCTCGATTAATGTGGCAGCTTAGCCCACTGCTGCATTGTCATCAAAGTTTTACAGCAACAACTCTTTGAGATGCGCGTCCAGCAGTTGTGCACTGAAGTGGAGCTTTACGGAAAACAGCGGTGTTCATCACACATTAAAGCTAGCAGCCCCTAATCCTCCGCTCAGGGCAAAGTGTTTCATGGGATCAATATAAATGATTTCCTCTCATTGCTTCTGGTTGTAGCCTACAATATTCATGAAAAGACTGCATGCAGCTATCACTATACCCCACGTCCTCTGCTTTATCTCCTGCTCTTACTGAACGCATCAAAACACACTGCGCTGTGTGTCGGTGGTACAAGATCCCCCCCCTCCTCCACACACACACATACACCTACACTGAGACGCACATTGACGCCAGTGTTGCTCCTGCTGCACTCGTAAAACTCCTGCATTGAGAACTACACAGCGCAGCAGCACATGAGTCTCGGCAGCAGCAGTGTTGACAGGCTTTCTCTATGCTTGCGTCAGAGATATCAGCTGCGTTTTTTTGTGATTACCCTGCCCCCCCGCCATGAGAAGTGATTAAATACATGGTGATGATCTGTGTTTCTCTTGCGGTGACAGAAGGCGAAAGAAGGCGAGATGTGCTGGTGATAAAAGGCTATAACTGATGGAGGAGGGTAATCCGGCTACTTTTCCCCAACCATCACTTTCCCTTCTGCTGTTTTCTTGCGCTTTGCATTGTCTCACATCTTCTCTTGCTATCTTCCTCGACACCTTGTTTCTGGCTCTCTTACTTAATGCACACTCTTTAGATGGCAAACCCACCCCCCACCCCCCTAGGTGGGTTTTGTGGCTGTGCACTAATGTGGAACAACCTAATGCAATCACAGCATGCGATGCCATCCACAGAAAAATCTAGAGGAGGCAGCTTGTACGATCGAGCCTCAGTCGTACCATGCATCAGTGGCTTTAAAAACCCCTCTTCCTCTTTCTGTCTCCATCTCTGCTTTTTTTCTTTATCCATCAGCAGTGCACAAGGCTTACCTTCAGGTCTCTGCAGGAGTAGCTGGCAGGCTCCCTTCCAGGCATTTCACAGCTGCTCCTCTCCCCAGGACTGCGCACTCCTTTCCTGGCTTTTGTTAAATCAACAACAGCCCTCCTGCCTCTCTCCTGCCGACCAGCTCCTTCTGCTCTTCACCGCTCTCTATCTACTCCTGTGTGAGAGGGGGGTCTGTCTGTACATGTGTGTTTGTATGTGTGTGTGTGAATCTGGAGGAGGAGGAGAGAGAGAGAGAGAGAGAGAGAGAGAGCAGCACAATCAGAGTGGGTGCGAGAAGAGATGGAGAGGATGTAAATATGCGTGTGCTCTCTCTCTTGAATGCTCCTCTCATCTCACTTCCACACAGAGATTGGACCTATTGTCTCTCAGGATTTGCCTCTTTTATAGAAGTGTGTGTTTATGCCTATTTGCACAGAGCCTAACATCCTTGTATGTGTGTTGTGTGTGTGTGTGTGTGTGTGTGTGTGTGTGTGTGTGTGTGTGTGTGTGTGTGTGTGTGTGTGTGTGTGTATGTATGTGTGTATGTGTGTATACATCCACCACATGGCTCCCTTCTGGGTGCTGCAAAAGGCAAGGAGAAATATGTATAGAAAAGTCAAGAGCAGTGGGAGAGCTGAGTTCTGTGCAAGCATGTTGGGGGGAGAGAGAGTGATGGTGAAGAGGAGTGTGGGACAATCAATTGCTAAAACTGCAGTTGATAAAAAAAAAAGCCCTGAGGATTTGAGAGAGAGAGAGAAAGATATAAAGTGAAAGTAGAGAAAATAATCTTGGTGAAAAACACACAAGAGTAAGACAAAAGAGAGCAGGATATGAAGAAAATTGGAAAAAAAAGGAATAAAGAGGATTTTTTTCAGAGGTAGACTGGTGTTACTTTTGGTGAATCCATCCCCACATATTTCAACGGTAAAGTGATAAAATAAAACTGAAGTGAAAGAGAATTGACCTCAGCTAGGCCACATTAGCATCAAGCTTTTAAGCACTGGTTCAAAATGTAAAAATACATTCACAGCTCAGCAGCAGAAAGGAGTGCCCAGGCTCATTTTATTCCTAATACTTAAAATCTTTTATCAGTATCTGTTTTCAGTATTTGGAGAGAAAAAAGGTTGCCCAATGACTGGACATACAGTCTAGACTGACAGACGGATACTTGACATTGAGATGTAGTTATGCATGGAGAAAATTGAATGTAGTCTTGACATAACAGAGGAGGAGTAATGAGACTGGGAGCAGCGAGGGAAAGCGATATGGAGATGATGATAAGTGGGGGAGGAGCGACAGAGGCAGCTATCACCACAAAGCCTCTTCATGTACTTCCTGCATTGAGTTTGGGAGATTTATGACTCTGCAGCCCCGCTTTGTTCCCGCATGAGCCCCCCCCTCACCACCCCTCCCCACTTCTCCCTGCTAAGTCGCAGGGGCACAGCAAGATGGCTACGAGATACTTCTTTCCCCAGTCTCGGCCGGTTGGGGAGCCAATGACAGCGGATTATGGAACATCAAGGAGTGAGGCTGCAATAATGAGAAGCTTGGGATTCAGCTGAGGGATAGGACTTGTGGGTTTCCACTCACACTCCCTGGCCTAGCAGTGATAATCTCAGCAGTGATCATGAAGTGTTGGGGTTCCTAATTGTGAAAAATTCAGGTCCTTTGGCAACAGAGCCACATGGATCCTGCGTGTGGATCGAGCCCTTGGTGGATCCCACTTGCTCAGATCCAGGGCATGTGTAATTATTTCCCCTCCTGAGGTTACACCGTTATTGATCAAAAGCTGAGCCCCTTCCACCTTATTGCCTCCACCGTTCATCCTGTGGAGAGAGCCATTTTGTTAACTGTACCACCTCCCATTAATCACCCATCACACATTAATAAAGCTCCTTGGCACTTTCATTATTACAAGTGCTCGGGTGAAACTTGTGTATACAGTGGACTCATCAGCATAATGCTAAGGGATGTGGGTAACACAATATAATAGGCTCTTCATTTGTCCTTTAAAAGATGATCCATTATAATTACCAGGCTGTGGATAATCCAGCTGAGGTGAGCTGCAGTATAAAGCTGCCCTAATAAGAGAATGTACTGTCTGATGACATATTCATCAATGCAAAGATTTTCATATGAAATAAACATAGCTCTTTCTCCCATGTTCATCGTGAGTACAAGCTATTCTTAGTATGCATCCTGCAGTCATAAAAAGAAATATGCATGACATGTATTTTGATTTACATCGTGTATTATTTAAATCACTTCACATAGTAGGAGGGAGAAAGTGAAGAGGGGGTGTGTATGTATTGAATGTATGACCATTATTCAACATACATGATTAAAAAAAAAAAGAAATCTTTTGGCACAGTCTGCTGCAACAGTTCAGACAAGATAGCAGTGACAGGACTCAGTGGTGCTTTTTACACAGAGATCCTGCAACAATTACGACGCCAAACTTATGTCAATACTGTCCATTTACAACTCTGTTTTTGCACATTTACATTTAATCTTTCATATTTAATTTACAACCATTTATGACTCTGTTTTTGCACATTTACATTCAATCTTCCATATTTAATCTTCCTATTTAAGACTAGTAATGCTTAGTTAAATCCTGGTTGTATATATTCACATTCTTAGTTTTGATATTTTTAGTGCTTATTTACTTTGTATTTGATATTATAGTATGTTTACATTTGCTAACATTGTGTTTTTTACTCATATTGTGTGTTGGATAACCTGCTGCTGTAACGCCACAATTTCCCTGTTTGGGATCAATAAAGTAATTCTATTCTATTCTATAAACCGTGCTGACATTCTGCTTTCCCAAGGTGTGATTGTACTCAGTGTGGCAAGACATAAGCAGCGTACCTCTAGTGTTGTTCTGTCCTGAAGGCTTCACCATTCAAACAGATGCCGTTTAGCCTCTGTTACACCTTTTGTTTCTGTAGCTGCTGCAGGTGGAACAACTTCAACCCACCATGTTTTGCCTCCATATACCTTCTACACAGACAGTGAGGTGTAATCCAGCAGTCCAGTATTGAAGGCATTGTGTAAAAGGGGCAAAAGTAAAAGGCCATAGTTCACATCTGCGACCTCCTGCCACTGCAGCCCACAGCAGATTATGTGTGTTAGGCCGGTGCCATCAGGGAAAGGAAAGACCATGTCAGAGGTGGTAACTGAGCAGAGATGAATGAGTTCTGTCTTGCATGGAGTGAAGAGGTGAGGAGGAAGTGTCATTTTTCTCTGCTCCCTTGGCTCCAGTCACCCCCCCCCACCCCCACACACACATACACACACACATCCACATCCAAACTCTTCCATACACCCGCCCTTTGGATCCATCCCTCTTCACTTTCTCTCACCTCCTCCTAGGCTTCATTAGGTCTGATTGATCTTCTTGTCAGAGCTTATGGCACAGCAATGAACTGCATTGTTACTAGCAGCATATAACAAAGAGGAGTGGGAATAGAAAAATCAGAGGACGACCACAGGAAACATTTCACCACAAGGTTATAATGGAGCAAGTTTGTTGTGTGAAAATATGTGTGCTGCGAGAGTTTCCTCTTTAAAAGAAAACATTTAAAGCCTCACACTGTTATCAAAAGTAGTTTAGCAGGGATGCTTATGATGTCATGCTGTATGATTTTATCTAAAATATTTAACTGTTCAAACATGTGCTTGTTGTGAATTAGTACAACACAAAGAGCGGAGCAGCAGGCCAGCATTTAATAGCAAAGAGAACTGGTGAATGCATGAAGAGGCAAGGTATGTTTGCCATGGAAAACATGTAAATTATTAAAGGATCTATCCGACCAAGCTGCCACAGCTTTATTCTAAACAAATTTGTCAGTGTCTATCGGCTTAACATATCATTATAAAGAAAATAAATGAGGTTTAGGAGCATTGCAGCAATTATTGCGTTTTTTTCCCTCTAATAATGAGTGGGGTATTGTTTAAAGAGGAAACTGAATTTAAAAAAAATGAGTAGATCTATTAACGTTTAAATTATAAATCATGTGAGTGTGAAGACCTACACAGCAGCCCTGGCCTTGTTATATGTGAATACATTATTTAGAAATGCTGAAGCATGCTTTTTTTTCTTCTTGTGTTCAGAACATTGAAGTATCCACAGTCCATAAACAAGTTACATACATTGCAGGAATTGTATAAGAACATTTCCAATGGCTACCCAACAATCAAATCCAAATTGCTGCACTTAATTATGTATAAGTGAAATCTTACAAGAATCAACGAGACAAACAGGCTCATTGAAAATTACTTTTCAATTAACAAACTCATAATCAAGGAGCTACCAGATGTAAAGTCAAGATATTTTATTTTATTTGAGTTTCCATACAGGAACAGACATCTCAACATTCATATTCGACTACATTTAAATGCAAGTATTTGAGAGATTGTGCCTCCATTTTTTTTCATCTTAAAATATGGATGTTGTAACATAAAATTATGTCATACATGTTCCACTGTCTGTTTTTCATGCTAAAATAATCAATCTTTTTTTTCAATTGTGTGAACTGCTCCTTTGCTTGAACACCATCACACAGTCCAGACACAGTGACACTATGTGGAGGAAATAAGTATAGCAATAACAGATAAAACACAACCACTATCTACTGCTGTGTGTTTGAATGAAGTAACACATGCTAGATTAAACATACTTGGAGTTTCTTTGCAATAAATTCCAAGAAATAACAGGATACCTGCTTTTCATTGGCAAAAATCCTCAGTTATTGAAATTCTCCAATGAAAGCATAATTTGTTAACGGCCAATAAAAGCAGTGACCAGTGCTAAAACTTGTTGATTTTTCAGTTTCAATGAGAAATTACACTGTTCTCACATTCTGCCTTTCTCAGTGGTCACTTGAGAAGTGATGAAAATATTGTGCATCCCAGTGGGTTGAGTGGGCTTCTCAGTAACGAACAGCATAACCTAAATGATAATACTTTGATTGAGCACAAAAGAGAATACAATACATGTCTATTTCCTTTAGGGGTGTTTATGGCGGGCAAAATGTTTATGCCGGGCAAATGCAGAGCCAATTACCAGTTGACTAACTCTCCAAATATAGCTCCTGGGAGACAAGCATATTCTTTATTCTTCTAATTAACTTCCTTTTAAGAAATGACATGGGGAAACATTCCAAAAACACAAAGAAATTAAGCTTTTGAAGAGGATGCCCATTTTAAAAAAAAAGAAAGCAAATGTCCACTTCAGT